GACAGAGAAGGCACTGGGATGGGATGTCGTGGGGTGATGATGGGGATAGGATGGAGATGGCGCTGGGGACAGGGACGATACAGAAGGATGGGGACACGGGGGGAAGGTCCGAGCGCTGGTCCCAGAGCGGGCCCGCCGAGTGCTGCTCCGGAGGGTGTCCAGGGGCCGCTCCCCTCCCACCTCCCGCCCCGAAGTAGCGGCTGCCAGAGTCGGTCCGAGGTGGGGGGTGCGTGCGCCCACGAAGGGTTAAGGGGGGCGGGGGGCTGAGAGGAGGGGGGTGTCGGCTCCGCCCGCTCCCGCCGTCCCCGGGAGATATTGTCATGCAAAAGCCCCCGGCGAGCGCAGCCTTTGTCCGCGCTCCCCCCGCCGGTATATTAACGGGCCGGGGCGGCGGCGGCGGCGGCGGCGGGGGCGGGCGGGGGCCCGGCGGGCAGGAGGCGGCGGGGACGGGCGGGTGGCAGCCGGGGCCGCACCGGGCTCGCCATGGACTACTCCTACCTCAACTCCTACGAGTCCTGCGTGGCCGCCATGGAGGCGAGCTACGAGTTCAGCCCCTGCAGCCAGGCGGGCTCCTTCCAGTACAGCCCCATGCGGGGGGGCTTCGGGCCCGCGCCCGCCTGCGCCCCCCTCGCCTCCGCCAGCTGCGCCCTGGGTGCCCTCCGCGACCACCAGCCCTCACCCTATTCAGCAGGTAAGGGAGAGGGACCCCCGAGCCGCCGGGAGCTACCAGGGACACTCCCCGGGCAGCCCCTGGACGGGCGTGAGGGAGCGGCCAAGCCGTCGCGGCTGGCAGGGATCGGAACTGCCGGGGCACCGGGGCAGCCGGGGCTCGGGACCGACGGCTGCCGGTGATGCCGGGGCTCTGTGCCATCGCTTGCCGGAGCCGTCGGTCTCCTGTACGGTCAGTGCTCGATGCCGTCGGTGGCCGATACTGTCGGTTCCCGGAGCCGCTGCCCTGTACTGCCAGGACTCGATGCCGACGGTACCATTACTGCCGGTTCCCGGCAGCGCCGGTGCCCTATCCCACCAATTCCCGGTACCGTTGTTGTCCGGTACCGCCAGTGCTCGGTGCTGCTATCGGCACCCGCTGCCATCGGTTCCCGGTGCCGACAGCGCTCGTTATCGCCAGTTCCCAGTGCCCCTGGTGCCCGGCACTGTCAGGATTCGTAACCATCGGTTCCAGGTACCGCTGGCGACCGATATCATCGGTTCCCGGTGACCCCAGTGCCCAACACCGTTAGTGCTCGATGCTGCCGGTTCCGGGAACCGTCTGTTCCCGGTGCAGCCAGTGCCCGTTCCTGCAAATTGTACTGTCGGTTCTCGGTACCGTCAGTGCCACTAGTGCCCGCTGCCGTCCGTTCCCGTTGCCGCCGGTGCTCGGCACTGTCAGGCTCGATGTCCTCGGTAACGGCTGCTGTCGGTCCTCGGTGCCGTCAGCTCCCCGTGACATCGATTCCCGGTGCTGTCGATCCCCGGCACTGTTGGTGCTAGGTCCCGCCGGTTCCCGGCGCTGCCAGAGCCCGAAGCCCAGGCTGGCTCTGCCTGGCTCGGTCCTTACCCCCTCCCCGTCCCGGGTGTCCCCGCTCGCCTCCGCCCGTGTGGGTGAACCTTCCCAAGCACGGCCGCAGGTCCTGGGGATCCCTGGAGCTGTGACGGCCCCAGAGAGGGGTTGGGGCAGGTCCTCGCCCTTGGAACCCCACTCCCCGCTCCGCATTCGTTGTCACCGCGGAGGCGCTGCCTGTGGTTGCGCCGACAACGAAGAAGCTGCCGATCGGTACCGGCCACCCCATCCGCGCCGGTACCGCATTGTCCCCCCTGCCCTGCTCCTGCCCTGCTCCTGCCCTGCTCCTGCCCCGCGGCCCCGCGGCCCGCGGAACGAACGAAGGAACGAACGGGGCCGGGGGCGCAGCGGGGGCAGCGATCCAGCCCTGCCCTCGTCCTTCCCGCCCTGCCCGCGGAGTCCTGCCCGGTTCATCGTGCCCTGATTCATCCTGCCCCGTCCACCCCTTCTCCGATCACCCCAGCCCAGTTTGTCCTTCCTGGTCATATGTCCTTTGCCGATTCCTCTGCCCGGTGCATCCTCTGCCCGTTTATGTATTCCCCGTCTATTTTCTTCCTAGGCAGTCCTTGCTCAAGCCTTCCCTGCCCCGTCCTTCCCTTCCTGGTTCCTCCCTACCCAGTTCATCCTTCCTGGTTCATTTATCCCTGGCCAGTGTCCCCTGCCCAGTCCATTGCTTCCCGTTCATCCCTTCCCAGTGCGTTCCTTCCCGGTTCATCTCTGCTCCATTCATCCCTGCCTGATCCATCCCTGCCTGGCGTCTCATGCCTGCTGCATCCCTTCTCTGTCCATTTCTTCCTGGTCCACCCCTGCCTGATGCCCCCTGCCCAGGTGTCCCCCAGTGTCCACCACAGCCCTCCCGCTGTACTGACTCCCTGTTTCCCTCCTAGTTCCCTACAAATTCTTCTCGGACCCATCGGGGATCAACGAGAAGCGGAAGCAGCGGCGGATCCGGACAACATTCACCAGCTCCCAGCTGAAGGAGCTGGAGAGGGTCTTTGCCGAGACCCACTACCCTGACATCTACACCCGCGAGGAGCTGGCCCTCAAGATCGACCTCACCGAGGCCCGGGTGCAGGTCAGCTCCGGGGAGGGAGGAGGGGGCTGGGGGTGGGGGTGGAAGGCTGTAATACCACCAGAGCAGGCACCCTGACCATGGGACACTGCTGCTCTCCTCCCTGCATGGGCAGGGGCGACAGGAAGGGACTTGGCCTTGGCACTGCCGCACTCAGGGGACACACTGTTGTCACAGCCTTGCCCTGCTGGGAGCTTGGGGGGACAGCCTGGCTCCCAGTAGAGTGCGGGCATTGGTTCATGCCACAGCACTGTCACTGTCATCAATGATTTAGTCCAGTCCCAAACACCTTGAGGTTGATGAGAGTCCAAGAAGGACAGATGCAAATGTCCCGTGTCAGTGCAGATTTTTCCTGGGGGATGCAGACACCCTGTGTCAGTGCAGAACCCTCTTCATGGGGTCCTTCTGTGTGGGATCCCCCCTGTGTCAGTGAATACCACCGTTGTGGCTTCAGATCCCCCTTGGCATGCTTCCCCTTTGTCAGAACATTTGTCCCCATAGGGATGTAGGGACCCACAGGAGTGGGGGTCCTTGCCCCCTCCCTCCCAGGGGGGATCGTGAGTGAAGTGGGCCCCACTGTTGGTACCATGGGGAGCTGGGGGGTGGGCTCTGACCGCACAAGGTGCAGCTGTGGGTGCAGTGTGACAATGTCCCCTCCCCATTTCCCTCCCCAACACCGGAGCACAGGCCAGTGCCTGGCACCGACCTCACAAATCCACGTTGTTGCGGATACACGGATCCCTGTGCTGATGTGGAAGACATTTCCCGAGGGAATGGAGGGTTGCGAGACCCACCCCGGAGCCTGGGAGGGCTCCCCGCAGCCACCGGCTCCCCGAACCCCCGGGGACCGTGGCAACGGGTGTTCCCATCCCCTCCATCCCCTCCAGGTGTGGTTCCAGAACCGTCGAGCCAAATTCCGCAAGCAGGAGCGTGCGGCCAATGCCAAAGGTGCCAGTGGCACCGGCAGCACAGGGAAGAAGTCGGAGCCGCGCTCCTCCTCAGAAGACGACGAATCCAAGGAATCCAACTGCAGCCCGACTCCAGACAGCACGGCGTCCCTGCCTGCGGCTGCCATCGGCAGCCCCGGCGGCAGCTTGAGCCCCAGCCCTGGCGTGGGGGCACCGCTGGGGTCCGGCCATGCCCCCCAGCCCCTCAAGGCACCCCTCTGGGCAGGGGTGGGCGGCGGCAGCGGCGCCCCCAACACGGCCGAGCTGCTGAAGGCCTGGCAGCCCACCGAGGCTGTGCCGGGACCCTTCTCCGGCGTCCTCTCCTCCTTCCATCGGAAACCAAGCGGCATCAAGACAAACCTCTTCTGATCACTGAATCACCGGTTCCGGCTGCCCCCAAACCCCCCTCGGCCCCCACCGTGCACCCTCCACCCACCGCCCCCACCACGGACCCAGCCGCGATGCTTCAGCAAACGGGGAGAGGGAGCGGGGGCCGCCCCCGCCGCCTCCCGCACCCTGCGCTGATGGGACGGACCCGGAGTGGGGGCAGCTCCCACCGACTCCCGTGGGTGCTGCGGGACCATGGGGGTGCGAGGCGGGGGACACCGCCCCCACGCTCGGCCAGCGTGGCCCTGGCAGAGCCTTCGGGGCTGGGGGCTCCCGGTGCACTCCAGGGTTGGGGGCAGATGTGGGGGTCCCCACGGCGCTGAGGGCGCTCCAGCATCGCCCCAGGAGATGCGCCCCTCAGTGGTCTGTGCCGCTGGGCTGGGGGCGAGAAAGCACTTTATGGGGGGGCTCTGGGGCCCACAGGGTGGGCAGTGCCGGGGAGTCCGGTATGGAGACACCCCTTGGTGTGGGGAGGGGCCGATTTCCCCCAGATCCTGCCTGCTGACATGGATTCCCCACCCAGCAGCACCTGGCAGGGAGAAAACACACTCCCCCCGCCCCCGGAGACTGTGGGGAGTAAAGGCAGGGCTGGGAGGTTCAGCGCTCACCTGCATTGCTGCAGACGCCGCCAATGGGGACAGAACTGCCGGGGGTGAGGTGGCCCCCGCCGCGGGCTCCGCTGTGGGATGGAGCAGCCAGGGAGATGCCTCGGAGCAGCCATGACCCCTCGCCAGCAGCAGGCTGGGTGTTCCGGCTGGAGCTGGCACTGGTGCGGCTGGGACCCCCCCGCACCACCCCGTGACCCCCCAAAGGGTTCCCGAAGCAGGGGGGTGGTGCCGGTGGGCACCTCGACCCAGCCACCCACTACACCGGTGCTGCTGGGCTTCATGGCACGCTGAGGATGCTGGCAGCCCATTCACGCGTCCCTGTTCCCTCCTGTATCCCTCCCAGTCCCCCCGAGGTGGGTTCCCCACTTTTCTTTTGGTTTTTAACCATTCTGTAATTTATTACCCATGTTTGCAAATGCCACTAATCCAAATTAAACTTAATTTATTGACGCTGCTGCTGGCCTGCAGCCCTTGCTGCACCCCAACCCGCCAAGGGCTTCAGGGGTGGGGGGCTGCATAGTCCCATCCCCAAAACCTCTGAAAGCCACCAGAACCCCCCAGGTGATGCCACAGACCTCCAGCACCTCAGGGATTGTTTTGGGTGCCCCCCACTCAAAGACCCCGAGCAGCTGCAGGAAGATGAGGGGGCATCCCATGGGAAGCCCCAAGTGGGGTGGGGTGAGGAGAGGGGTGCCCCACACAGCTCCCCTGGCCTCTAGGGACCCTTTGGGGGGTGATGATGAAGAAAGTCTTGGGGGCACTGGCATGGTGACAAGGTGCATGCCAGGCTATTGGGGGAGTGGTCTGAGGTACCCAATACGGTCAAGAAGGGGACAAGGGACTCCACCTTGCTGGGACCAGTACAGACAGCTTGGAGGGGTCACAGATTATGCTGGGACCCAGTTCTTCCCCCTGGTTCCCTATCTTGTCCCCCTCCCCAGACCTTTCCCCACACTGAGAGCTCCACCATACCCATTGCATGAACATGACAAAAATCACTCCAGATTTACCAAACACCTCCAAACAGAGGAGCTGAGGGTTTAGTGGGGGGAAGTTCACACCAAACACCCCCAGTAAGAAAGGGGGGGATGTTGGGGGATGCCAGGGGGGCCTGGCCCATCCTTCATCTCAGCCGGAGTGGGGGATTGGGGGGGGGTATCCCAGTGGGGAAGGCACAGCGGGAGGATCCCTGTCCTGGGGACCCCCACCCTGGGAACCCTCCTGGAAGGACACTTGGCAAGGCTGGGGGCTGAGCACCCACAAGGAGACCTGGTTGCCAGCCCCGCTGCCCCCAAGGGCAACGCAAAAGCCCCGGGGAGGGGTGGGCACACCCAGCAAGTACCTAATGGGCAAACTGGGTGGGAGTGGGGGTATGCCCCAGAGGCACTGGTGGTGTGGGGTGGGCTCTGGGGGAAGGCACTGATCTGGCTCTGCGATGAAAGGATTGCCAGGCTGGGGATGGTACTTCCAGCATGGGGACATCTCCCCAGAGTGGGGATGGGGACCCTGCCATGCGAGAATGGGACTCCCATGGTTGGGATAGGGACGCCAGGGGTGGGGACAACACCCATCCAGGTGGGGACAGAATCCCCAGTATGGGGAAGACAGGACCCCTGGGGATGGAACCTCTGGGTGGGATGGATCCTTGGGGTGGGGGCCCTGGGGATGGGGGCAGCACCTCCATGGGTGGGAACAGGGACCCCTATGGTGGGAAAATGATCTCCAGGGATAGGGGACAGGCAACCATAGGACAGGAACAGAGACCCCCAGGGAGGGGATGGGACCCCCAGAAATGGTAACAGGGATTCCTGTCATGGAGACCGATACCTGGGGTGGAGATGGAACCCCTGGACATGGGGACAGGGACCCATGGGGTGAGGACAGGAACCCCCAGGGGTGGGGACAGCACATCCAGGGCAGGGATGGGGATCATCAGGGTGGGGTAGAACCCCTGGTGTGCAGATATGATGTCCAGCATAGGGACAGGAGTTGGCACAGGGATGTACAGCAAGGGGATAGTGATAGGCACCCCGTGGGTGGGGATGGGGATCTTCCAGGGTTGGAGTGGGACATCCATGTTGGACCCTCAGGGGGACAGGGGTGCCCAGGAGGAGACAGGAACCCTCAAAGTGGGGATGGGACCTTCAGGGTGGGGACAGGATCCTTAAGAGTTGGGGATGGGGACTCCGAGCTGTGCCCAGTGCTGTCTATAGGGGCTGGCTGAGCCATCCCATCCTATCCTATCCCATCCCATCCTATCCCAGCTCAGCCCAGGCATCATGAAGGCACTTGGGTTGAGACATGACTTTGCTCAGAGCCTCCTCCTCCTAGCTGTGAGGAGTCATGGGGGGAGCCAGGATCCCAAGGGTTACCCCCAAACACCTCAACCACCATCCCTTCTCCCAATAAATAAAAAATAACTTAAATGTGAGGGCACCCCGTAGGGATCCTCATATGAAATTATCTGACCAGGACACACCACCCCCCCTTCCCACCCCATTACCCAGCATCCAGGGTGGGGGACGGGCTGTGGAGGTCGTGGGGCTCCCACTTGCTGCTGGTGATGGTGGGATGAATGGATGCAGGATGTGGGACTGTAGGATGAAGGATCCTCAGCTGCAGGATGCACAGCTGCAGGACCTGGGATGCACATCCATGGCACCCTGGGTATGTGGCCACAGGATGCTGGGCTGTGGACGAACGGCTGCAGGATCTGGGATGCTCAGCTGCAGGATGCAGAGCCACAGGGTCCAGGATACGTGCCAGCAGGATGTGAAATGCACAGCCATGGGATCCAGGATGTGCATCTGTGGGATGCAGGATGCTGGGCCATAGGACACACAGCTGCAAGGTCTGAGATACAGGGCTGCAGGATTTGGGATGCTGGGCTGCAGGATGCAGAATATGCAGCCGCAGGATCTGGGATGCTGGGCCATAGGATGCACGGGATGCTGGATGTGCGGCGGCAGCTACTTGCGAAGCTGGAGGCTCTCCAGAAGGATGCGCTTGTGGCCAGGCTCCAGCACTCCAGCCTCCTCCAGGTCCTCCTCTGTGATGTCACTGGGAATCAAGCACAAATATGGGGCTCTGCCCCCGAGGGGTACCCCAACCTCGGGTGGGGTCCCCACTTGGGAGTGCTGGAGCCCCCACTCGGGTTGCTGGGTGCCCACCCAGGCTCCACCCTGCCCCTGCTGCAGGATTTTGTGACCCTCGGGTGGCAGTGGGGATCCCGAGAGGCAAAGGGGATGTGGTAGTAGTGGGGACATCTTGGGCAGCTGGGACACCCAGACACCCATGGGACATCAGGGACCCCTAAGAGCAATGGCATCCTCCAGGGTAGCACAGAACCGTTGGGAGCAGTGGGGACTTGCAGGGGCAGTGGGGACTTGCAGAGGCAGTGGGGACCTGCAGGGGAAGCGGAGACCCTCAGTGGGCAGTGGGGAACCCCCAAGGACAGTGGTGACCATCAAGGGACGCACCCCCTCGGACCTCCCCAGAACCCAGGTACCACAATGACCCCCTGGGTTAGACATGGACCCACTGGGGTTGGCCAGGCTGCTGGTGGGAGTGGGTGGGGGTCCCTCCCCACCGTTCTGGGGGGCTGCTCACCTGAGAAACTCCAGGTCATCCCAGCCATTGCGCACCAGCCCCTCCTCGTACCGCTCCAGCCCCAGGGCCCGCAGCCACTCGCCCACACCGGGCACGGTGCCCACACCACGGCCCAGCGCCTGCACCCCAACAGCCTCAGCACCATGGGGCACCCTAAAGGGAGCCCCAGCTGAGGTGCTGAGGACCCCCACCCACCCTGTATCACCCACCTCCTCAGCCAGGTCCTCCTGGATGCTCTCCTGGATGGAGTGGGGAGGGAAGGCAAGGGGGTGGCCATAGTCGGGGTGCAGGCAGCGGGGAGGCAACCCCCCCTTGGCCAGCAGTGGTGGTGGGGGGACCACCCTCCCCTTCCCACCCCCATAGTCCACCTCACTCAGCGTCTTGGCCATCTGCAACACTGAGCAGGATCGGTCATCCAGCAGCCCTCCCGGCAGGCCGCCAGGAGTGGGCAGCCCCCCAACTGCAGGCAGCCCCCCGGTAACAGGCGTCCCACCAGCCCCCTCCATCCCAAAACCAGCCCTGGTGGCTGGGGGTGGCCGGGGGTGAGGCTTAGGCAGGGGAGCCTCTCCTAAGGCAGCAGGGTGGGTTTTTGGGTCCTCACACCCGGTGGACACCAGCAGCTCCTTCGTGGTGCTGAAGAAGGTGTTTGGGGGGAGCTCCAGCTCCCGTGGCAGTGGCGGTGGGGGAAAATCCGGCGGTGGCAGGTTGAGGGTGCCGAGGTCCTCTTCCTCATCACTCTCGCCACCACAGCACGTTGAGGGGCACTGGCAGCACTCCTGTACTGCCAGCTGCACCTTGGCCTTGGGGGGCTTGCCAGGGTCACCCCGCACCAGCAGCTGGTGGGGGACCCCCTCCAGCACGTAGTATGCTGGGTTGTTGAAGCTGTTCTTCAGGGGACCCCCTGACAGCTCTGGCATTGCCTCCGCCTTGGACCTACGGGCACAGGGGTGAGCGTGGCACCCACAGAGCACTCCCCCTCCCTAGCCCTGCCCATACTCCCTCACCGGCTTGGGGCGGCCTCGTCCCTGGGGGTGCTGCGGTGTGGGGCAGGGGGACGAGATGCTGCTGGGGTGCTGCTCTTCTCAGGCTCCTCTGGGAGCTTCGCCAGGATGGTGGTGAGGGTCTCAGCACCGGTGGGTTTTCGCCCTGCAGACCTGCCAACAGGAGGTACTGGGTGTCCCTCTAGGCTTGAACCTCCACAGTGCAGGTTCAGACTCCCAGGACAGGGCTCACATCACCCAGAACATGGTTCAGACCCCGTGGGATGGATCTCAATAGTCCAGGTCAGGGCTCAGATCCCCAGGATGGGGGTCTGCCCTCCAGGATGGGATTCAGCTACCAAAACACAGCCAGAAATGTATTTAGAGGTTCAGAGCCCCATCCCCACCCTCTGTGTCACAGAACTGGCATCAGGACTGTCCCCAGTCACATCCCACACACCAACCCAGAGGGATATACTCTGAGCAATACCTGTGCTCAGGTGAATCCCTGAGGCCTGCTGACCCCCAGCAACTGGTGCCCCCCACCCTGCCGAGCCCTGTCCCCCATACTTGGCATTGTCCTGGGTGGCCCTGGCAGCTAGTGGCACCTTCCCTTTGCTGGCTGTCGTCTCATCCTTATCGACGCTGATCCACTCTGCCAGAGAAGAGGGGTTCAGTGGTGGAGTCCTGTCCCCACCGTCGCCCCTGGGGTGAGGGAACCTCACCATAGAGCCTCTCGCGGGTGCCCAGGCGCTCCGTGGGCACCCGGACCTTCATGGAGCCACGGATGTTGCCGGTCTCCTCACCACGGTGGGACAGGTAGGTGAGGAACTGCTGCGCTGTGCTGCCAATCATTGACTTCAGGGCAATGACACACTCCCCTGGGGGTGAGAGTGGGGGAGGTTGGGGGTCTGCACCCCATGCACCCCCGGTGCTGGCGTGGTGCTGGAGTGGATACTCACCGTAGGACTCATAACCGTCAAGGGATTTGACGGTGAGCAAGAGGTGCTGGTCCTGCAGGTACTCAATCTCGGAGAGGATGGGCTTCAGCTGTGGCCAAGGGAATGGGGTGCTGGCACTGAGTGGGTGTCTCCCTGCCTGCAGTTTCCCCCAGCACCCACGTGTCAGCCCCCAACCCCTCCTCACCGTGGGCAGCTGCCGGGATGACCACTGCACCTTGAGGAAGTTGATGTTGTCACTGCTCTGGCTGTCATTCTCAAAGCTCTTCTTGAACTCTGTGGGGTAGCGGGACATGGCATCAATCCTTGAACCTCCCAGGATGCCATGAGCTTCCTGGGGCCCCTCTCAAGCCCCTTGGGACCCCACGCTGCCCTCCCAGTACTCACCTTCCAGGCAGGTAGAATAGAACTCGATGAAAAACTTGGTGCGACTGGACGTCTTCACGATGGCCTCTATGCTCTCAAACTCGATGTATGCCTGCTCTGAGGACTTGGAGAGCCCTCCATGGAGAGGCGAGGGATTGGAATCCCCCTAGGACCCCTCTATTTAGAGGGAGAGATGGGATCATGGAGGGGCAGGGGACAGTGAGATATCCCCTTGGGCATAGGCACCTTTTTTGGAAACGAACTGGGATGTCACTCCCACTTCAAAGGAGCCGAAGACAGGCGAGTGGTCACTGGTGACAATGTCATCTGTGCACCCTGCAGTCAGTGGGGATGGGGAAGAAGTCAGGATGGAGGGGGGGACCATCCCCAGAACAGGGACAAGGCTGCTGGGGGTGGTCACACTGCTCACCGTAAGCATTGCAGTTGACATGAGTCTCAGGGTAGGACTTCCAGAGGATGCGGTCACACCAGGATGGCACGTTAGTACGTACCTGGCAGGGGTGGGGAGAGGGTGGGGGTTCAGATTAGGGTGTCCTCCACTCCTCTGACTCCCCCTGCCCCAGCACCTACCCCTGTGGGCTTCTGCTTGTGCCAGACATAGGTGTCCCGGGAGCCTCGCTCATAGCGGTAGGTTGGAGGGAAGGTGATCTCCTCCTCACCTGCAGGGACAGCAGTGGGTGAGGACAGTCCCGACAACAGGGGCTGCAGCCCTAGACCCTCCTGGACCCCCCCAGTCCTCACCGAAGCGCAGGAACACCTTGTGCTTCTCCTTCTCCAGATTGAGCTGATCCACCTTCAGCAACGGCTCCAGCTCCTTGCGACTGATGTAGTTGAGGATCTCCTGCAGCAACAAAGGGGTTGGCACTGGGCTGGGAGGGGGACCCTGACAGCCTCACCCACCTTCCCAACCCCACCCACCCCTTCCCCTGACCTGGATGTCCATGTCTAGGCGGTAATTGAGGTCCCCAAACCAGAAGAGGTGAGTGAAGCGAAGGGAGATGTCAAAGGAGTTCAGCTGCTTATCCCCCAGTGAGAGGAGGCGCAGGATGTCCAGGTAGTTCTGGTTCCTCCTGCAGCAGGGGACATGGGGACAGGGTGTCACAGACATGAGGACAGGGGCAACAGCTCTGTCCCAGCCGAGCCCAGGGTGGGGGTGCTCACCGTGCCGTCTTCTCATTGCCAGAGGTGAGGTGGCAGTTGACAAAGCCAAAGGAGGTGCCATTGAACATGAAGGAGACACCCACAGCGCCTTTGTTCCCTGTGAGGAAATGGAGACATGGGATGGGATCAGGCAACCCCTGATTCTACCTCGGGGATGGACACCCAGCTGGCCTCAGGTCACAGTGATGGGGCACAGTCCTCACCTGGCCAGCTGGCACAGGCACATGCAGAACATACTGAGAGCCCTCCTCATAAAACACACCCCCACAGAATCCCCCTCATGCAAAGCACGCTCATCCAGGGCCTTCTCATGCAACACAAACATTCCCAGAACCTTCCCTGTGCACTGCACACAAAGCCCCCCTTGTGAAACTCCCGTGCTATGGGACCCCTCCTTGTGCAACACACACACACTGGGACCCCTCCCCATGCAATGCCCACATACCAGGAATCCTCATCATGCAACACATGCAACAAAAGGATCTCCCCCATAATGAAGATATCCAAGGACTCCCCCCAGTGCAGTGCACATCTCTGTGTCCCTCTACGCCCTGCTGTGCCCCTACCTAGGGTGTTGGCGATCCCTGTCTTGACGCTGGAGGTGCTGACATGGCTGATGCGGTTCTCGTGCTCTGGCTTCACCAGCACCACCACCTTGATGTTCCACAGGGACTGCATGGCCACCTGTGGGCACCAGCACCCTCAGCCCCCCGTCAGCACGCACTGGGGCCACCTGGGGCCTTAGGGGCCCCTCTGGTGTGTCCACAGGGGATGCTCATTACTGCTTCATCCCAGCCTCTCCCAACAAGGCCTGCTGCCGAGGGAATCCCACCACCATCAATCAGTATCCACAGCTACCCAGCACCAGGAGAACACACCAAAATACTTGCTGTCAGCAGACCTGGAGCACCCACAGCCACCCAGCACCATGAGAGCATCTCAGAACAGCCAGTGTCACAGAGCCAGAGCACAGCCACCCCCGGGACACTGAGAAACACACACCTCCACTACCCACCAGTGCCTGCACCCCACAGCCCTGGACCCCCTGGTTCTTACCGGGCGGTACTCAACTTCTGTGAAGTCCTTGAGGACAGTGCGCAGAAAGTCCACCCACTCCTTGTCTCCCAAAGAATTCTCCTGGGTGCCGAAGACATAGATGTCGTGTGGTATGGCCATCGTCACCTCATCCAGAGTCTTGCCCAACCCCTTGGAGGTGATCCACGAAGTGATGTTCTTGGGGGGAGGAACACTGCCTGCAGGGGGGACAGCACAGTTAGGGGGGACTCCAGGGCCTTGACACCCCACCGTGAGCTGTCCCCGGCCCCACTCACCCATGTTCCAGGTGCCAATGAAGACAGAAATCATGTCAGGCTCATCCTGGTGAGAATGCTTGTTCTTCATCAGCTGCAGGAGCTGGCAGAAAGCCTCACGCTTCTGCAGGAGGGGGCAGTGAGGGGGTGTAGAGAGGCTCCCCACAACCCTCTCCAGCCCCCCTGCTTTGGCTCAACCAAACCTGGCACCTTCTGGACATGGGGGACTGCCCCAGGGGCATCACCCAGCCATCAGGCACCGGTATCCAGCACCTGTCCCTGAGCCCTATCAGGGCCCAGGGGCTAAATCCTGCCCCACCCCAGCCCTACAATGCACCCCTTGTCCCCCACCTGCTCCCAGCTGAGCATTACCCACCCGAGCACTGACAAAAACAAAGTCCTTCCGTTGCGTTTTATCCTTTTCCTTCTCAAAAACGATGCCGAGCTTGTTCTGCACCCGCTGTGACTTGATCAGCTGCCGGACTGCGGAGGAGTGGCAAGAGCTGGGAGGTTGCTGGGTGCCCAGCTGGGTGCTGGAACCCCCCCAGTCCATGCTTTGGGGGACCCCCAAGCTGGGGACACCCCAAGCATGAGAAAATCCTCCAGCTTCCAGCCCAGCACTGAGCCTTACAGGGATGCTCCCCAGCACAAAGGCAATCCCATGAGTGCTGGGGCCCCAAGACGCCTCCACACTCACTCTTGTCATGGGTGAAGGTGTTCCAGTCCTCCTGGGAGTCCTTCTGCTTCTTCAGCACCACTAGTTTACCCCCCTCCACGTCCACACTCAGAGTGTACTTCTGTGACTTCCCAATCTTGGTCAGGTCCCCCAGGGTGATATCCAGCTTCACCTGCCAGAGGAGAGTGGGATGAGGGAGGACACAGGGGACACCCCAGCACCCAATTTGGCATCTGGCCTCCCCCAGAGACACCTAGGTGCCCTCAGTGTCACACTGGAGGTACTCAGTCGATGCTGAAAACCCCTCAAACCTCCAAAACTGGGCAGGGCAGGGGGTAGGGTAGGGCTCACCTCGAAGGTCTGCACTGGGATGCTCTTGGCCTTGCGTGAGAGGGGTTGAGGGGGGGTGGCAGGAGCGGCTGAGCTCATCTCCTGCAGGGCCTTCAGTGCCTGCCAGAGTCCCAGCTGGGTCAGCCGAGAGCCCACCAGTCCCCCTAGATCCATCAACCCCTCCAGTCCCACCAATATTCCAAGCCCCACCAGCCCTCACAGTCCACAAGGCTCCACTGGCCCCCTCAGCCCTACCAGTGCTAGCTCCACTGGCCCTCCCCAGCCCACTGGTGCCTCAGTCCCACAAGCCCATCCCCAGTCTCTCAGCTCCACCAGCCCAGCAATCCCTGCCAGCTGCCCCAGTCCCACCAGTGCCCTCAGTCCCACAGTCCCTCCAGTTCATCCAGACCCCCTCAGAACACCCCCATCAGGCCATCCACCCCAGCATCTCCAGCCTCACCTTCTTCTCGATGGAGGACAGGAAATCTTTCAGCACAGAGAGCTTCAACACCAGGTTCTCCAGCTCCTGCTCTCCACTCTGCCCTGCTGTCTGGAATCCCCAGCAGGATACCCCAGCACAGGGACGTGAACCCCAGACCCACCCCAGAGCTTCCCCTCACCCCAAGTGGCAGAGCCCACTGGCAATTTGGGATGGGGCAGGGTGGTGGGTGTTTCTCCACAGGCTTTTCCACCACCCATGGATGGTAGGGGGTTGCCACTGCTGTGTCCCCGTATTCTGCTTACCTGCTGCAGAATCTTGGAGACCATGGGGGAGCTCTGCTGGTCAAACACCTTGGAGAGGATCTCCAGCCCTGCCAGCACCTTGTCCACTTCACTGGAAGGGCAAGAGGAGCCGGCTCACCGAGTGGCACAGACATCCTTCCATCTGTCTAACTGTTCCAGTGTCCAGCACTCACCTGTGCAGCCGTTTGCAGGACGTGACGAGGGTCTTGTTGAGGTGGGGGAGGCTGTTGGCCCCTCCCTTCACTGCCTCCAGGTCCAGGGTGTAGCTGCCCTTCAGGTACTCATGGGAGATGCTGATGAGCCCATTGGTGCTGCAGAGAGCACCCAGGGGGTGAGGGCCAGCAGGGAGGAGCAGGGGACAGACAAGGGGACAAGCAGGAGACAGACGGACCCTCACCTCTCCACTGGTCCCTCCGGCACAGATGGTCCCAGGCCAGTGGGGCTGAGTCCCACCGAGGTGCCAGAGAAACTGGTGGAGCCGGAGCGTGGTGGCAACGGTGGCTTCTCATCCTCTCCGTCTGCAATGGAGCAATGACGGGGCCAGTCACCGCCACCCCAGGGGTCTCAGGACCCTATTCACCCACCCATGTCACCTGCCATACCCGAGTAGTCCCTGTCTTCCACGGTCTCCTTCTCTTTCTCCCTCTCAACAGGAAAAAGCAGGGTGCAGACCAGCCCCTGGTTGGGCTGCAGGTACAGGGCAATCAGCTCGTTGAGCGTCTTGAAGCGCCGCACCTGCACCCCCTGTGACGTCTGCGGGGACATGGGGACACCAGGACCATCAGCGCCTGCAGCCAGCATCACCGGACACCCCCCAGGTGGAGACACCATCAAGCAGGGAAACCCAACATGCAGGGATGCCACCATGCAGGATGTCCCCAAACAGGAATCTCCCCAGGCAGGGATACCACCATGCAGGGACCCCCAGGCAGGGATACCACCATGCAAGGATCCCCTCATGCAGAGTTGCCACCATGCAGGGATGTTCCCACGAAGGGACCCCCATGTAGGGATCCTCCCATGCAGAGATGGCACCGTGCAGGATGGGGGGCTGACCCCACAGCCCCATGGTGGGGACCAGAGCCCATTGCAATGGGGCCTGCAGGGCTGGTAGGCAGGCTGACAGGGTGCAGGCAGCAGCCGTCCCTCAGCTTCCTCCCTCCCAGGGGCAGCTTTTCCTGCCCGCCTGGCCAGCACAAAGAGGGCTCTGTTGCTCTAAAAATACCCAGTGCCACAGCCAGCCAAGATGGGCACAGCCAAGCCATCCGGCACAGCCGGGCACACACGTGGCACTGGGCCAGGGCTGAGCCCAGCACAGCCACCCAGCACAGCCAGAGAGACGGACAAACTCACAGCACAAGGTCAACACTGAGCGCTGCTGAGCTGGAGATCCCCCACTGCCCATGAGCCAGAGGGTGTCCCATGCCCGCGCTGCCCACCTGCACGGCCAGGAAATCCTCCTCGTCTGGCAGGATGCGGTACGTGTGGACGTGTTTCTGGAACCTGTGGCAGCAGGGAGGGCATCAGGGTACTGGGGGTTGGGTGGTGTCCCCCCACCTCCCTGCATGGCCCCTGCCAGCCCCAAAGGGATGCCCAGTACTCATCCAGTCATCCTACTTCACCCACAGTGAGAAGCTCCAATAGCACTGTTCCCCATGGAATGCAATGAGCTGACAAGGAAAGCCCATCGGAAAATGCTTGCAAAGGATGGGTGCTGGGAGTCCCAGAGTGCCTCCCCTGCTTGCTCCGACCCCACAATCGACACTGCTATGTTCTTGGCAGTGCTGCTCCCCTGCCACACTGCCTGTCTGTGCCAGAGGCACTGTCCCCAGCCCACAGCACAGGCAGGAGCTGGCAGGTGCAGGCAGGAGCTGGCAGGTGCAGGCAGGAGCTGGCAGGAGCTGGCAGGCAGGAAACACCAGGAAACGATTTCTTTTCCAGTGGGAGCTGACAGGAACCAGGGACATGATCCCATGGCAGGTGGAGATGGGCAGTGCTAAGAGATGGGGTGACAACATCACTGGGTGCAACGAGCAGGGTTGGGACCCCTCCCTGTCTCAGGGACTCCAGGGGACAGGGAGCCTCAGCACTGCCAGACCTCCCTACTCCACAGCTGTCAGCAGGAACAGTGACTCCTTGGCTGGGCTCTGGCCACAGAGGTCACCATGAGCATTAAGGCTTCTGTCCCCACACCAGGGCCACTCAGTTGCTGTGTCCCCTGCCCCGGTGGCAGCTTGACACAGGGCTGGAGGACTGGAACAAGGCAGCATCCATCCCCCCATCCTGTGCTGCGTCCCTGAACAGGGTGCCATGCCCTCACATCCTATGCCATGCTGTCACGTCCCCTGGTGTCATCCTACAGTTCAGTTCTGGTTACCCTGGTACCACCAAGCTCCCTGCAGTGGCAGGTACCCCATTTCTCCTGCCTCCCCTGCAGGGTATGACCTCCAGCACCACTGGGATCTTCCCAGGTGCCCCAATGCCCAGTTGGGGGTCATTGGGAGGGTGGGGCCATGGAGAGCCCTCCAAGTGGTAGGGGGAGCTTAATGGGAATCCACTTCCGGGGGGGCTGTATGGAAAACGCTGCTGTGGGTGAGAGGATCAGGGGTTCCCAGCTCAAGTCTGTGGGAGAATCCCAGCTGGTGGGATGGCAGGGGGGGCACAAAGAGACACCCCCAAACCAGTATGCTATGCAAGTAGCATAAAGGGTCTTGGTGGGAAGTCGTAATACACAATTGGGGTCTCCATAGCAGGAACACCAGTGGAAGTGTGACGGGGATGCAAGAGGAACCCCAGCACAGCACCAGTAAGTGGAACTCAAGATTGGAGGGGCAAGGAGCAGGACCCTTAGGAGGAACCTCAGCTGTGGGGGATATCAAGGGGCTCTCTATGGATAAGTGACGGGGGGCTGGAGGGACACACAGCACCGGGAGTGGTACTGTGGAGGAGGACTGCAGGGCCCCCTGGCTGCCCAGTCCTGCACCGTTGTCGGCTGCTATTTTGGTAAGCAATGACGGGAGGGGGGGGCAGAGAGCACCGGGCTTGGGTACAAAGAGCCTTTATGCGGGAGCCACAGGACTCCCCTGCCGTCTCTGACGCACAGCCAGCACCCTGCCACAGCCCTGCCAGCAGCACAGTGGGCACCCCATATCCACTGCTCTCTGGTACCCTACTCCACCAAGAACAGGATGTGGGCACACAGGCAAGGGGGACACCGTGTGCCCACTGGCACCACCCTGGCACTGGTGTCCCCATGAACTGGCCGTGAGCTGGGATGGAAGCTCCAAGCCCCCGCACTCCTGTGGGACACCACGCCAGGACTGTCCCCACCGGCACTGCTCACCAACCAGGGATGTCAGCACACCCTGGGATGCCACTGCCACATGCCAGCTGGAACTGTGAGTTCCGGTGATGCCCCAATATACCACCCTGAGGCCGCAAGTGTGACGTGACACCCCAGTGTGCCGTGGTGAGGGCACAGTGAGATGTCCTGGTGTGCCACATCCAGCCCAGTGAGTCCATGGCAGACCGGCGGGAGGGTTAAAGGAAGCCGACACTGCTGGGATCCCGCTGCAGTTCCCTTTCCTCCTTCTGACCCTGCAGCTATTTTTAGGGCCCCAGCAATAGCTGGGCCAATGGCCCCGCAGCCCTGTCCACCTATTCACTGACAACAGGGATGCCTGGTGAGATCACAGCACCAGGGACTCCCAACAGTACTTGTTGCAGTGCAGCCTCCCAGCCTGGCATCCCCACGACAGGCTTTGCCATGCTGCATGGTCCCAGTCCCACAGCCCAGCCATGTGGCACCCATGGCCTCCTCACCAGGCACTGAGAGACATCAGTGACAGACACACCTTCCCCAGGCACCTGCACCATGATGCTGTCTGTAAGCCCTCTGTTACCCACACTGGCACCACAATGCCCCCCAGCCATATGGCACCATTAGGTGCCAGAATAATGTGCTCTCCCAGGGCTGTGCCTAGTGCTGCTCGCCAGCCCAGCTTTGTGGTAGAGAGCCCAGAGCCATGCTATGCCCACATGGCTGGGAAACTGCATTTGCCACTGTCCACAGGGAAGGACAACCATCCCACCAAGGAGACTGCATGCCTGGCACCTGCACGTGGCACCAGCACACAGCAACCCCAGGCCAGGGCAGGCCAGCTCCCAGTGTATTCACAGTTCTCCCACAGGCTCTCAGGGCACAGAAAAGCTTTGAGTTCAAGTGCCCTCACCACCACCCCACAACCACATCAAGGTCCAGATGCTGGTACAGGTAGTCAGCCTCAAGCAGAGGCAGTGGCAAGCCCTGGGAGCTCCCAGAAGCATTGCAACACATGGAATACCATCAGCACAAGGTGCCAGAGGCCCCAGGTATGGTGGGGTGCTAGGGTACACCACTGGGCAAAGGCATTTCAGGACCCCAAGGGCTGTCAGCACTCACCTGTGACCTGGCACAAGCTGGGAGCCATGGAGCTCCATGGCACAACTCAAGGTCACAGAGCTGTTCCCCTTCCCCAGGTTGGGGAACCCCAGACACAACGGCATGAGCTGGGGACCCCCAGTGCCATGGGTAGGCTCAGGGACCCCAAGAGTGTGGGGTAGGGCCCAGGCCGCCCATCTCATAGACCTCCATGGTAGCAAGGGTGGCTGTCACAGCCCCCCTGGAGCCAGCCCGGTACCACCCCCAGCACCCACAGATCCCCAGCCCCTCCAGAGTCTGTTGGTGTCTGGTCTTCTGGGACACCCAGGCCAGAGCAGGTGACATTCCCCTGGTGCCCTGTGTCCCAGAAGTGCCAGCGTCCCTCCGAACCCCCAGGTCTCTTCGCATCTGTGCCCTCTCAGCACCCACTGACCAGAGCTGTCACAGTCTCCCTGGGCCCAAATTCCTAACAAGCCACACGGTACTGGTGACCCCCATGTCTGCTGTATCCCCCCAGGTGGGTCCCCCCTCTGCCTGTTGTTCTCTTGGTGTTGGCATCCCCAGTGCTCTCTGCGTGCTCCCCTAGATCCTTTCCAGTGATCCCCAATGCTTCCCCTGCCAGTGCTTCCTTGGCGCCCCCCGCTCCCGCCCTCGGTGCCTCTCCCGCTGTTCTTCCCGGTTCTCTGCCAGTGCTTCCCTGGACACTCGCCCTGTGTACCACAGTGTTCCCCCGAATCCCTGCAGTGACCCCCATGACGCCCCAGTGTTACCCCGGTACCTCGCTGGTGCTCTCCCAAATCCTCCCCGCTGCTCGCCCAGGACCCACCCCCGCCTCCCCGCTCTCCTCGGACCATCCCCGAGGCCCCTGTGGTGCGCCCCTGAACACTCCACTCCTACGCCGCCGAATCGCCCCGGTACCCCGTCCCGTTTCTCCCAGGATCCCCCCAAAGCTCCGGCGGTACTTCGCCGGTGCTCCCCCAAGCTCCCCGCTGCTGCTCCCCCAGGGTCGCCCCGGGTCCTCCCCGCGACGCCCTGCCCGTGCCTCCGCAGCTCCCCCGGCCCTGCGCCGGTCCCCGGCCGGTGCACCGCCTCCCGTCACCCCGATGGCCGCTCCCGGATCTCCCCCTGTGCCGCCCCGGTACCTCGCGGGTGTGCCCCCGGCAGCCGCCCGCCCGAAGCCCACTCACAGCAGGCACAGTGCGTAGGCCCCCGCCACGCTCTCGCTGTCCCGCACCAGGAAGCTGCCGTCCCGCCCGGCCCGCGCCAGCTGCTCCTCGGCCGCCGCCCGGCTCAGGTCCCGGTGGTACCAGGGGGGCACCGGTACCGGGGCCGCTCCTCCCGCGCCCCCCGTGCCCGCCATGCTCCGCCACCGGGGCCGCGCCGCGGGGCCGCGCTCTGAGGGGGAGGGGGGAGCAGGGGGGCGGGCACCGGGGCGGGGAAAGGTGGGGGACGGGGGCATCCAGGGAACAGGCCAGGGCTTCGAGAGTTGGGGGCACCGTGGGCAAGAGGGGGGCGCCCCCGGGGGTACCCAGGGGCCCACGGGGGGAGATCCGGGGGCGGCCACCGGGAGGGGCGATCGCGGGAGGGGACCCGCGGGGGTCGAGGGGGACACCGGAGGGGATCCTGGGGCAGAAGCAGGGGGAAGCTTGGGGGAAGCACCAGTGAGCTAACGGGGGAGCACTGGTGGGGTCGTGGGGACCGCACCGCGAGAGGCACCGGGGCAAATCCGGGGCCAATGGGTAGGAGGTTCAGGGGGGTAGCAGGGGTGTCTGATCGAGAGGCGGACACCAGGGGAGCAGCAGGAGATTGGGGGTACCCAGGGGCGTGCCCGAAGGGAAGGGCGAGGGCACGGTGGTGTGAAGGCACCGGCAGTGTGAAGATACCGGGGAGCCGGGCACTGGGGGAACGGGTGCCGCGGTGGGGCAGGGCTGGGGCCACGGGCTGAAGTTGGGAGCACGACCCGGTTTTGCCACCAAAACCGGGGACTTCTCCATGGCCCAGAGGTCGGGGCGATGCCAACCCACAGCTGGGAACTCGGAACGTATCGGGAAAGGGACCTCTGGAATGGGCTCTGGGCCGGCAGAACTCCCTTGACAGCCATGCTCCCACCTCAGGGTCCCCAGGATGTCCTCCCTTTTTTTCCCAGTCTTGTCCTGTGCACCCCAGGATATCAGTGATGCCCAGAGCCCTGGATCCGTGTCAGGTGCTAGGACACATTCAGTGATCCCATTCCCCTGAGCCCCAGTGGATGGCAGTTCCATGCCTTCTACTTTGCCTGGGTTTGGGGGAGCCAGTGCTGGGTAGCCAGGTTGGCAGGTAGAAATGAATGGGAGTGATGTCTGCTTCATCTCCTCACCAGAAGCAGGATCGGATGATCAGACACCCCCACGTCCCTCAACCATCCTATTGCCGCCCCAACGCTCAGTCCCACAGCACCCCAACACCAAGCAGAGGGCAGGAGTGTTTATTCACGAGCCACATGCCTGGAGGGGACACAGCTTGAGTGCTTGTGCCTTCCCCGTGCCATGGGAAGGCACAAGGCAGCCTGGTGACCATCTACCGCCTGCTCCTGCCTGCAGCCTCTCCTGTTCAGAGCGGGGTCAGGAACATGAGGGGCAGCAGGCACAGCAGGATGGAGAGCGGGGAGTTTGGGGGAGCATCGCCACAGGCATAATATTGGGCGACAGCGACATTGGGGTTCCCCTGTGTGGGATCGAACCACATCTGGATGCAGCGACCGCTGCCACGGTGGTGGGACGTGTAGCGGTAGGAGCCAGACCAGATCTGCTCGCAGAGTGCAGCCGCCGTGGGGAACACAAACTTGAACTTCTGGCACATGGCACCCCTGGGACAGTGGTTGGTGCCTGGGGGCAGGCAGGGGGTGAAGTGGGTGAAGGGCTTTTTAAAACAGGTGTGGTTTTCCTGTGCATGGGGTGCAAATGGGTCCCACTGGCATTGCTGGGGAAGACTTGAGTTGACCTCAAGGTGGTACAGGGTCTCCATCACCCCACACCCCATGAAGACCTTCACACTCCCTGACCCACGCACATCCACAGGGGATTCCCACCTGGCTGCTACCCCCACCCCATGGGGACCCTCACACTCCTGGACCCACACACAGCAACCACAGAGGGGGGACACAACCTCCCCTGCAGCAAGATGGAGGGTGACTGGAGACTCACAGGAGAGTCGAGGCGTGATGGGGGGTGCCCCACAACCCCTATTTACCTGTAGTCCAGTTCCAGCCCTTGTGCCAGTTGACCTTGCAGGTGACAGCATCCTGGCAATCCTCCCACCACTGCTCACAGTCCTCCCGGCACAGTGGCACATCCCGGATCCGCTCCTTCCGCCAGCTGTTGTCTGCCTGCAGGGCCCCCAGTTTCCCCCAGTTCACCCCAGGGATCCTGGTGGGTGGGTGAGGGGAGGTCTGCACCTACCTGGTCGATCCATGGCCCCAGGTTAGGGGAGCACTCATAGAGACATGTGTCCTGGATGAAGTGGCGCTTGCACTTCTCTGGCATGGCCCCACAGTGGTCCCAGTTGAAGTTGTACAGGTAGGACTGGTCCTGGTGGGCTTCCAAACTGGTGTTGGCAGTGCAGCAGGCATTGTCCTTCCAGAGGACACACTGCGCCGGGGCAGCCTGGGCTCAGCTGGGACCCATCAGGACCCACCAGGGCTCAGCTGGGACCTGCTGTGGGTCCAGGGAAAGCGCTAGTGCCCATGGCTGGGTGACACTGGGTGATGGAATTCATGTTGGAGCAGAGAGCCCCCCAGCCTCCATCCTGGTGACCCCACAGCAAGTGACACCAGCGTGTGCTGGTGCAGTGGATGAGGACCGTACCTGCCCATAGAGCTGCCCCTCAGGGCCAGGCTCTGTTTTATGGTGCTTGGCATCCATGCAGACATTGAGCAGAGAGTCCTGCGTCACTGCTGCGGCAGGAACTGGCCAGGCCACCAGCACCAGCAGAGCCAACACCGCTGCCATCACTCTGCCAGGGCGACAGCAGGTCAGGACTGCAGCACTGAGACACGCGGTGACAGCGGGGACAAAGTCCCCCACTGTGCGTGTGGAAGTGCGGCAGCACGTGGTCACTGCCACCAACAGGGGGGCCAGGGATCTTACCTGGGGGGTGCCAGGGGTCGGGGCTCTTACCTGGGGGGCAGCTGGGCTCCAGGTGCCGTGGGACGAGCACAGCTCATCTCAAAGATCGTGGTGCAACCCTTGGCCACGGATCACGGGATGTGGGAATGCGGCAGATTGGACAGCACTGAGGGCACGGAGGAGGCAGTGCACCCTGCCCTGGCACCCTGCTGTGTCCTGGATTGACACTCCTACATATCCTGGCCCACCACCAGCCCCACATGCAGCTGGGATTCATCCTCCTGGCGCCAGGCTGGGGCCAGCACCAGCCAAAATCCACCTATGGCTGTTTTTCCTTCCCTCCTGTGGGAGGTGGCCTGATTCCCTGACACCAGCACAAGGGGCAGGACCTGGCCCCCCAACACCACCGGGTCCCTGTGAGTGACCGGGGGGGAGCACCACAGTGGGTAAGAGATGTTGCTGGTGGGGACAGGAACCCCTGTGGGGTCACCGATGGCCACAGGGTAGAGGCAAATACCCCTCATGGAATTACAGGTACTCCAGGGGATCACAGATGCCCCATGGCGGGGGGACCAGGTGCCCTGGGGAAGAGCAGTCACCTGTGGCTCGCCAGGGACAGAAACTCTCCGGTGTGGGACATGCCTCGAGGAGGGAGGGAGGGCAGATACCCTGGAAGATGCAGATACTTCCAAGATCACCCATGATGGGGAGGCCAGACATGCCCCGGGGGTCACAGGTGCCCTGAGGAGGGGGGAAGACACACCCTGGTGGGGTCGCAGATACCGCCCTCACAGCACAGATGACAGAGACCCCCAGCCATGGCTGCCAGCTGCCCCCAAAGGAGCAGATACCCCATGAGGATCACAGATACCTCCCCCTGGGGTCACTGGTACCCGTGGGGGGGTCACATACCCACCATTAGTCACAGATATTCCGTGGGGATCACAAATACCCCCTCACTGGGGTCACAGCCATCTCTGGGGGTGGTCACGAGCGCCCCAGACTCAACCACCACCTGTCAATCAGGCTTTGCCCCGCCCACATCCCCGCCCCAGACCACGCCCACCCATTCTTCCTCCTGAGGGCCTGGGCCCGCCGGACATCACCGCCCTCCCTCTGCGCATGCTCCGTGCGCTGTAACTGCTTCCGGGTCGGACTCCACTTCCGGCTCGGCGGCCGGCGCCGGCCTGGCGCTGCTGCCGATGTTCCTGCCATGTCCACGCTGTTCCCCTCGCTCCTGCCCCGCCTCACCGAGTCCCTCTGGTTCAACCTCGACCGGCCGTGCGTTGACGAGACCGAGCTGCAGCAGCAGGAGCAGCAGCACCAGGCCTGGGTGGGCACCGGGGTGTGGGGAGATGCGGGGCCGGGTATCCGGAGGCCGGGAACGGGTTCGGGGCCGGGGAAGCGGCCCCCGCTCCTCCAGCGGGCACGGCCGCGGTGCTCGTTTCAGTGCAGGGGTGGGGGTTCGCGCGTGTCCCGGCACACGGGGCTCCTCCGGTGCATCGCTCCCCCGCCTGTTCACCGGCCGTGCCCGTGCTTCAGCGTCCTGTGCCGGTACCTGTGCCGGTGCTACATCTGCCTGTACCGGCTCGGGCACCGCTGCTCTCGTGTGCATCATCCGTGTGTCACACTGGCTCCGGCGGGCTGATACCGGA